TGGACACATAACCAACAACGATATGATCTGTGAAAAAAGAAAAACTAATACAATAATGCTTCTTTAAGTGTTCATTTTAAAACAATTAATTAACAAATAAAAAAAGAGAGAGGGAAGGGAAATTCAATTCATGACGTGGGATATGCAAACATGAAACAAGATACAATACGATACTGCCCTAAGCCTCAAGGTACTTAAAAATTTAGTGCGCTAACGTATCAGGGACAAATAATATCACAGTTAGAAATGAAGAAAAATCATATTCAAAATTATGATTAGATTATGAAAAAAGATATATTGTTACTTTTGACCAACTCGTAGTCTTATTAATAGCAAGACTTCTTCCTACCATCCCATCAATTCTAATTATTTCTACATTCATTTATGCAAACTGAGAGTTTAATTTCAAAGAAATGGTTCTCTAGAGTGTAAATGAGATTATTTTGCAAACTTATATTCATAAGACAAGCAAAAGTAAAAAACAAAACATAACACCTTAACTGCATGATAACCATAGCAAGGCCTCCTTTTTTAATCTAGACTTCAACCCACATTATGATATCTTAACAATCAAAATAGGCATAAGCTAAGATATGAGAAATTCGAATGACCCCATTTCTACTAAAATACTTCAAAAGATTTTTTAACACAACCCATGCATCCAGCATTACAAGAAACCAAAACAGATTACTCATACAATTAATGTAATATACTTCCAATGGACACACAAGCAAAGAATGGAAGGTCTGGGAAATTTAAGGAAATAAAATATCTTTATGGCAAAAGTTTTATATTTCTTTCAACAACATCATATAAAAAATATGTCTCATTGCTTCAGGAAGTTAAATTCACATCCCTTAAACAGTATATGTTTGTCATACATATTGCAGACATACAGCAATATATTATTATTACAGCATAACTTATAGCCTATAATAAGGTATTAAACATCCAAATACAAGTCTAATATGATGATTATGGAAATTACCAAGTGACCCTAGAGCATGACTGGATCACTCTCATCCTTTAGTCTCAGCTTGGAGGTCTCCTCTTCTGAGGCCGTCCCTGATTATCCCAACTAAATTAACCCTGTGTCATTCACTACCACACTACCCTGCTGTTTCCCAATTTTCATAGCACTTACCACTATCTGAAATTATCTTGTTTATTTCCTTGGTTTTTGTCTTTCTTCCTCCACCAAAATGTAAGCTCCATAAGCACAGGTACCTTCTCAGTCTTGCTCACCACTGAATCCCCATTACATAGGACAGTGTCTGTACACAGTAGGCACTTCATAAAAATATTGAATAAATAAATTAGGATAATTAGCTCAAACAATAATGTAAACCAGAAAAAAGAATACAGTGGACTACACAGCAAAGAAGCTAGCAAGGAAGAATGGAATTTTGAGAATGACTGTTTCAGAGATGACCCTTTTCTCAGAGAAACTGGTACCTCTAAACTGCAAAGGCAACCATTTAAAAAGCGAGTGTCTGTATCTTATATGAATAAGCAAGAGGGCACTTCACTTCTCATGCCACAATTACCCCTGTCAGCAGGGTTTTATTTTAAGGGAGCCTTGACTACAAGGCCACTCCAGCCACAAATCTGCTGCCCCATACTTTATCAGCAGGCATTACTGGTCCACTTGAATTAATAATTTGTTGGCTGCATCAAGTTCAGACATGCCCTGTCTTCTCCATTTAGACGATGATCCTTCTCCAAATAAGCCTCTTTGCAAACTCCATAGACTAATGATTCTGCTACCTATTCCTCACCAGTGCTCTATCAGAAATGTCACTGAAGGGAATGGTAAAAGTAACACAGAACACATCTTGCCTTGTTGTCAGTTGTTAGCTGGTTGTTTACCCATCGGTCATCCTAAAAACAAACTTCCTGTAGAGGCAATAAAGGGGAAGGTTCTTATTCAGGCACACACACTAGCTGTATGTTCTTGGCAATTCGCTTACCATCTCTGTCTCAGTTTCCTCATTTGTAAAACAGGGATAATCAAGAGTATGTATCTCAAAGAGATTCTGTGAGGGTTCATTAGTATACTGTAGGACATGCAGAAAGCATCAATAAATAGGAGCGACTTTTATTTCGAAGAGGATGATGATGACTATGATTTTTTTTACTAGTTTATGAACTCCTGGAGGGTAGCGACAGTTCTTGGTTCCTGGTAAGATTCAATTTAACTTAAAAAAGTAAAAAGGGGGACAACAGCTTCCTCATTTTGCTGTGTCCAGACCCCTCCCCATCAATCAATCTCTAGGTGCCTGCCATTTGCCTAAACTGGGGGGTAGGGAACTGGGATTATAACCAGATAGAAGCAAAGGGTGGGAAACACCCAGTAGCATCATGGGTAATAAAGAGAATTTCCTTTTTTTCTTCATGCTTCTGCCCCCAGAGAATCGCAAAGTCAGAGTAAACAGCGCTCCTAGGATCTTTGCTTGGTGGTAACTGCCGTTCAGAAACGGCCAGGGCACACCCTGGGGATGCTCCCCTCGCCAGAAAAAAAAAGGCCCAACCACTTTTATCAACAGGAGGTGGTTCCTCGGGTCTGGCCCGAGTTTATTTACTGGGGACCCTCTGTCCTCACCCTAGCGCCCCAAGCCCACCTCCCCCAACTCCTCTGATAAGGCTCCATCCCGAACACCCACCAGACGGTGCCAGCATCTGAGCATCACCTCCGCGCCCGGTGCCGCCGGCCCCCGGGATATCCGCCTCCGCCCACCCGGAGCCTTCCCAGAGGCTCGAGGCCCAAGAGCCCGGCACCTTCGCTCGGGTTCCGTGCAGAGCCCGCCCTCAGATAGCGCGCCAATTCCGCCCGCCCTGCGGCCTCGCAGCCGGACCCGCTGAGTCAAGGCCCCTCTCACGCACACACCTGTTCTCCCACGGCCACGGCAGCTTTCCTCCCCTCGCTCCGGGCCTTGGCAGGAAACAAACTGCTCAATTGGTACTGACTGAGAGCAGCTCCATCCACCGCCGCCTCCTCCTCCTCCTCCCCGCCATATTACGGTGCTCAGGCGGCAACGCGGGCTCCTGGCAACCGCCGCCGCCGCCGCCGCTGCCGCCGCCGTCCGGACTCCACCTCTTAGGGCCGGCACTTCCGGTGGTTGCTTCCGGGCCGTTGGACCGGTTGGGCCTCCAGAAAACTACAATCCCCGAGGTGCTTTGCGCGCCTGGGTACGCGTCCAGGCCCACCGATGGAGGGCGTTGTACTTGAGGGAGGCGCGGTGCAAGCTGGGAGGCGTAGTCTTCACTGCAGGCTCGCAAATCTTATTTCATTAAGAACGCTCCTCAGGTCTGAAGGCCTCTGAAATATTCCTTGAAACTATTTTTCACTTACCGGTATAGAGGTAACTTCTTTCTGTATAATCGTTGTAATACATACAACGGTCACCAAATTTTTTTTCTCTGTCAATAAAAAATTACTGAATCCTAGATGCAAACTCTAAGCTTCAACACATCCATACCCGCTTGCAAATCAGTGGGAAAATAGCTCCAAGAAAGGTAGTTAACAGGTTCAAGATGGCAGGAGAAGCTCAGAATGTTTTGCCAAAGTTCTCTATCGAAACATGTCACCAGCTTTTTGTCAACTGAAAAAAAAAAAAAGCACAACATCAGAGTTGTGAGTTAAGTTTTATTTGGGGCAAAATGAGGGCTATAGCCCAGGAGACAGCATTTCAGATAGCTCTGAGAAACTGCTCTGAAGAGGAGGGGGGAAGGCCAGTATTATATATGGTTTTAGTGAAGGGGGATCCGTGCAATCAAGCACACATTTTGGCAGAGGCTTGCTGCTAGTCACAGGAGCAGATGTCACTGTTAACGATTTTAGTGCTTTCCTAGATATGAGGAGATGCAAGAATTGGGCTCATAAAAATCTTCCGAGAATATCTAACTATCTCCCTGAACTCCTTTCAGGGTGTGTTGAAGGTCAGTGGCTGCAGTGGCTAGTAACTTAATCCTTGTAGAGGCAGATGGCAACTGCCAATTTTTTGTGGGCATTTCCAAAATATGATTTAGCAGCTAGCCACTTTCCACTTCCTAAATCGGCTTTACTTTCTGCCTCTCTTACTGACCCTCTTTCCCGTGCCTATTTTTTCATACGTAAAATAAGATTTTCAAAAGTGCCTATCACAAGGTCGGTTGCGAGGAACAACTGAGATAATTCTTGCAGTGCCTAGTACAGAAGCCCCATCATTAGCCCTGAGTAGGAGGAGAAGGTTAGAAGGAGTAGCAGTGGAAAATTCATGGCATAAAACTGGGGTGTCATGATGTCAACCCTGAATCTGCCATTTCATTGACTCCGCTCAAGTGCTTTGACTTCTCCTGGCCTCAGTTTATTCACCTATAAAATGAGGGCATTATTAAAATCCCTTCCAACTTTATAATCCGATTATGCCTCCTTTGCTATGTTCTTTCATTCCCTCAGAATCTGAAAAAATCCTTCTAAAGTCGACTGAATTCAGTTTCCTGAGGTAATACCCAACCGAGCCTGTTGTGAGAATAACACACAAAGCAGTTGCAGCCATGGAACCTGGAACGTGGTTATGTGCTCTATAAATGTTAACTGTACTCTCTAACACTATTATTTTGCCCCACGAGAATGTAAGCCCCATGAGAGCAGGGATCCCGTCGGTCTTGTTCACTTGCTGTTGTCCTGAGCATCCGGACTGCTGTTCGCATACCTTCAATTGAATTAATAAATAGTGTAAGCGTCCTGCCCCTTCAAAGTTTCCTTGACGACAAAATGGAGTCATTAAGATCCTTTCCAGTCTTACGACCTTAAGACTGCTGTCATATCCCTCGCCTTGCTTCTAGAGTTTGAAAGCCCCGGAGGAAATCCGGACCACAGAATAACGCAAAACGTACTTTGGAACTCCAGCCGGGAGCTCGGACCAGCCTCCGTTGCCTTGACAGCTGCTACGCCCCGAGCTCTGGAGATCCTCGGCCCTGATTGGCTGGACCTCGGGCTCCTTCTACGGAAGTAGTCGCTGCCGCCATTGTGCGGCGCTCGTCCACTCGAAGGGTGTCAGCTGCGGCCCGCGCTTTGGGCTGTCGTCGTAGTTTCTTGGTTTCCTGTCCGCGGAGCCCGGCGGGACCGGGACTCCCGTCCGTGCCGGTGCGGGCGCCGGCATGTGGCTATGGGAGGAACAGGGGGGCCTCATGGGCCCCTTCTCCTTCCTGATGATGATGCTGCTGCTGGTGACGCGCAGTCCCTTCAATGCCTGCCTCTTCACCGGCAGCCTCTACCTCCTGCTGCGCCTCTTCAGCTTTGAGCCGGTGCCCTCCCGCAGGGCCATGCAGGTGCTCAAGCCCCGGGACCGCGTCTCCGCCATCGCCCACCGCGGCGGCGGCCACGACGCGCCCGAGAACACGCTGGCGGCCATTCGGCAGGTGAGTCCTACACTCCTCCCGCCCTTGCGCGCCTCCTGGGAGCTTGGACTTGTGCCTGTACTTCCGAAGGTTCCCCAGCTTTTTCATGATAGCCTTACCACTTCCCCATTTGTCCACAAGGAATACATTCAGGTGGCCCTGGATCCCTTTGAATTACGGAAAATCTCCAGACTTCAAGTGTTAATAGAACACTGCAAATACTTAACGTATTTGCTATGTGCCAGGTACTGAGGATGGTCATGAACAAGACAGAAAGGGTACCTGCTTTCACAGAGCTTGCATTGGAGTAGGGGAGACAGGTCTTAAATAAATAAACACATACATAAGGTACTTTAAGAAAGCGATGAGTGCAATGAAGAAATAGGGTTACCGAATAAGGAATGTCGGGAGGGTCATTTTAGACAGAAATCCTGTCCGAAGAAGTGACCTTTGAACTGAGACCGGGATTATGAGGAGCCCGCCATGGATCTGGGGGGAAAGTGCTCCAGGAAAAGGGAACAGCAAGTGCAAAGGTCCTGAGGTGGGAATGATGTTGGAATCCTCATGTAACAGAATAGACAGTATATGACCTGACTTCAAGGGACAAAACAAAGGCTGGTGTGTGAATGAAGTAGGAAATGTGGCCAGGTTAAGTAGAGCCTTGGTCAGTCGTTAGCTAACATACTCTAAATGGATCACCTTCACAGCGGCTGTCTTTACTTGTCCTCCAAATTATCCAAATCATCTCCTTATCACCTTTCCCCGTGGTAAGACAACACTAGCAGGGGGACTCCTGATAATTTCTGCCTCCCCTTTCCACAGGGAGCTCTCGGCAGTCTCTGGACTTCATCATAATAACAGCTTGCGTAGTAAGAGAGCTTTGCAGTTGTCTAGGCACTTTTGCATATGTGGAAATATATCTGATCCTCTCATTTCTCTGAAACATTAAGTGGGTAGGAAAACTGGCTCAAACACACACAGCTCCTTTTCGAATTCAGCCTTCTGATTCCAAGTCCCAGTGCCCTTTGTCATAGATTAGAATACGTTCCAGGATGTAAAATTTGAACTGAATGTCCTTTCTTTGTCCAGCTAGGGACAGACAGTATTGTGTAATGAACAAGTTACTTAAGCGCTCTGTGTCCCAGTCAGAGTCACGGGTAGGATGTAGCAAGCAAGGCACCCTAGGGTACCGCTCCTCACTCTAGTCCCAGCTCTGACCTTAAGTTTCCTCATCTGTAAAATGGGAATGATGTTAATATCCACCTAATCGGTTGTGATTCGATGAAATAGGCTACCTCACATTAAATGAGAAAGTATGTATGCAAAATACACATATACATATAGTGTGTCATATCCTGTTGTGTTGCAAGGGAATTATAGCTGAACTCCATTCATGTCTTGTATGTTTAGGTTGAACATGTCTTTTTTTTTTTTTTTTTTGCGGTACGCGGGCCTCTCACTGTTGTGGCCTCTCCCGTTTCAGAGCACAGGCTCCAGACGCGCAGGCTCAGCGGCCATGGCTCACGGGCCCAGTCGCTCCACGGCATGTGGGATCTTCCCGGACCGGGGCATGAACCCGTGTCCCCTGCATCGGCAGGCGGACTCTCAACCACTGCGCCACTAGGGAAGCCCTGAACATGTCTTTAATATATGTAATTATGATAAATAACATTGCGCCAAGCTGATTCCTGGTTTTAAGAGGAAATGAGATGTAATTTAGCTTGTTCAAATACAAGGTCATTACCAATGAACGTTTTAGCCGTGACAGAATTTAGCTGCAGAAGACAAGGTCACGTCCTCCCTCTTGACTTCAAAAGAAATATGTAGTTTACTTCCTTCAAAGTTTGTTTTTTGTCCTGTTCTTTTTCACTTTGCTTGTTTGCGGCTCATAATTTATATTCTTAAACATTCTATTATGTGAAAAGTCAGGGAAGACATTCTGACAGTGGTAGAATTTCTGGTAGATTATGGAATAGATAGAGAAGGAAAAACTTGAGAGCGGTGAAATGAATGCATTCCAGAAACAGAGTCACGATTATAAACAGTGACAGAAGCATGAAATCAAACCCACAGTCCACTCCACAGAGGGGCCACAGTGCAGCTTTAAAAGTATAATTCAGATTATATCATGCCCATATTTAAAACCCTCCAGTGTTTTTTCTATTGCAGTTAGGTAAAATCAAAACACCTTTCCATTTTGGACCTTTCTCAAAGCCCCAACTCCCTCTGTTTAAACCACCTTGGGTGTTTGTTAATGATGCTTTTGCCTTCATGTAATAGAGAATCTAACTTAAAATATTTCAAACAATAAGGGGACTATCTCACATAGCAAGAGGTGTGTGTGGGAGAGGTGACTTCCAGGATGGTTTATTCCGCTGTTCAATTTGTGATTGTGGAGGACACCGTTTCTACTGATGTATCTGCTCTGCCACCTGCAGCATATTTACTAGCCCTCATTGTAGTTGCCAGGTGGCCATTGCAGCCCCAGGACTCACATTCTTACATATCAGCATCCAGCCTCAAGAAAAGGCCCTACTCCCTCTTCCATAAGTCTTTCCCAAAAGTCAGTCAGTCTCTCTCACTCTCTCTGACAGACGCACACGGAGGGGTTGGGAATAGTCCACTTACAGCAGAGGAGAAAGCTGAACACTGGAGAAAGAACAGCTCTCTACCAGCAGGGAAGAAGAAAGGAAATAGATCTGGGTAGGCAATCAGTACTTTGTGGCTCCTTCCTACCTTGTGGCCTTTGTATTATATTTGCCATTTCTTCTACTTAGAAAACTCTTCCCCTGGATCTTTGTATTGTTGACTCCCTTTTATCACTAAAGTCTCAGCTCAAATGTCATATTCTTAAAGAGGCCTTCCCTGATTGCCTTGTCTAGTGACCCCCCACCTGACTTAACTTTCACATTACCCTCTATTTTCTTTTTCAAACATTTATCACTATCATAATACATGTAACATGTGTGTAGTCTGTTTCTCCCCAGTAAAGTGTAAGATCCGTGTTCCTTTTCTTTCTTGCTCACCACTCTCTCCTCACTGCTTAGAACAGTGCCTGATACATAGTAGACACTCAATAAATATTTGTTGGAAGAATTGTGATGTACAAATAAGCAATAAGCCCATCAGAAAAGATATTCAACATTATCAGCCATCAGAAAAATGCAGTTCAAAACCACAGTGAAAGACCACGTAATACCCACTAGGACAGCTGTAATCAAAAAGACAGACAGAAGTATTGGCGAGATTATGCAGCAGTTGGAACCTTCATGCACTGATGGTGGGAAACTAGTCTGTCGGTTCCTCAAAAGGTTAAATATAGGACTTCCCTGGTAGTGCAGTGGTTAAGAATCCACCTGCCAATGCAGGAGACACGGGTTCAAGCCCTGGTCCGGGAAGATTGCGGAGCAACTAAGCCCATGCGTCACAACTACTGAGCCTGTGCTCTAGAGCCCGCGAGCCACAACTACTGAAGCCCACCCGTCTAGAGCCAGTGTTCCACAACAAGAGAAGCCACTGCAATGAGAAGCCCGTGCACCGCAACTAGAGAAAGCCCACATGCAGCAATGAGGACCCAACACAGCCAATAATTAATTAATTAATTAATTTTTTAGAAAACGGTTAAAGATAGAATTACCATCTGAAGCAGCAATTTCACTCCTAGGTATATACTCAAAAGAATTGAAAACATGCATCACGCAAAAACTTGAACAGGATTGTTCATAGCATTATTCATAATAGCCAAAAAGTGGAAATAACAGAAATGTCCATCAGCTGTTGAAAGGATAAATAAAATGTGATATAGCCACACAATGGAATATTATTTAGCAAGAAAAATGAATGAAGTCCCCATACATGTTATAACATGAATGAACCTTGAAAGCAGTATGCTAAGTAAAAGAAGCTAGTCACAGAAGACTGCATATTATATAATTCTATTAAATAAAATGTCTCGAATAGGCAAAGCCATAGAGAAAGAAGTAGATTAGTAGTTGCCAGGGACTGGGAGGGTTGGAGAGAGAAGTGGGGACTGACTGCTAATGGGTATGGGGTTTCTTTTTGGGGTGATGAAGATGTTCAGAAAGCGATTGTAGTGATGGTTGCACAACTGCAAATATGCTGAAAACCATTGAATTGTACACTTTAAATGGATGAATTTTATGGTATGTGAATACTATGTCAAAAGTCATATAAGTATAATGACTTTATTAAAGCAGACACTTTTTAAATCAACTTTGTCAAAGTATAATTTACATACAATAAAAGATACATTTTCAGTATACAGTTTGATGAGTTTTGATAAATATTTACACCTGGGTAGCCACCACCTCAATCCATTTCCATCACCCTAGAATGTTCCTTTGTGTTCTCTTTGGAGTCAACCCCTACTCCTGCCTCTGCCCCAAGGCAATCATTGATCTGATTTCTCTAACTATACTACCCTATACTATTCTATTACTAAACTATTAGTATAGTTTCAAACTAACATCTTAAGTAAAATTTTAATAAATTACAGTATTTATGTAGACTAGTTTATGTGAAGTGTGTATGTTTAGAAGAAAAATACTATTATAAGAAACTTCTTGAAATAAGAGTATGAAGTATATACTAATATGTGAATCAGATTCAGGGGTTTATCTTTTTGCCTCTACATAAAAGTATTGGGAAAGAAAGTTGAATGCAGTCATTAGAAGATCTGGTCTAAGAAGCTCTAGTATGGTGATTCTTTTATAGAACTTTTGTTTTTGGCCTTAATAAACTACACAGAAAAGACAAATAAATGAACTCATTACCTTTAGTATTCTTGCTAAAATACAGTGTCTCACCATTGTTATTTTTTGTTTTGTAGCCAAGTAACAATGGCCCTAATGGATAAAAGTATAATTGAACTGAATTACTAGCATCAAGGAATAAGGTTAACATTTGTATTACAGTGAGAGAGATGCACTGTGAATACTGGAAATGTGATCTTGTTTTATGTTATACAATATATAACCCATGTTGACTTACCAGTGCATTATTAAACTTAGAAAAGATATACCTTTTAATCTTATAAAAAGATGTACCTTTTAATCAGTGTAGATGTAAGCATTACATCTTATGTAATGACTTTTTCACCGAGGCATAAGTGTTTTTCTAGTCATAATAGCTTATATTGAGTGCCACCTCTGAGCCAGGCACCAAGCTTGGTGATTTACATACATTATTTCTAAATCCTCACAACTCTTAAGATCATTAAAGAAGTATCATCATAAAAATGATGAAACGGAGGCAAGAGTAGTATTTGTAATTAGATGACATAGCCAGTTAGTGATGGAATTGGAATTTTTAGAGGGGGAAATCTTGGTCATATATGTGAAAATCAAACTTTGAAGCCTAGAAGAAAACAGTTGTTTATAAGTGGGGGTAAGAAAGGGATTTAAATAAGATAGACAAATCTCCACCTATAAAGGACATAATTAATAAATTTGACTATTTTACAGTTAAAAACGTGTTAACAAAGCACAATAACAATGGCTAATGTGTATCGAATGCTTACTATGCACTAGTACAGTGCTGTATGTTGTTTATGGGTACTTAAGTGTGTAGTAAATATATAAGGACCTGTAAGGGAATGATATAGAAATTATGCACGTCCACTTGGCAGTTGCCTCTGGAGAAGAAGGGGGGAGGATTTTAGCTATATCTGTAGTGTGATAGTAAAGTCATGTGGTTAAGAGTGTAGCCTCTACCACGTCCTAGTTTGTGTAACCCAGAGCAAGTTTCTTAATCTCTCTCAGTTTCCTCATCTGAAAATGAGAATGTTAATAGTACTTCCTGAAGGGTTGTGAGGATCAAATGAGTTAATACATTTACAGCAGTTAGAATAGTGCCTGACAAATATAAAAGGCTCAATAAATAATATAGCTATTATTGTTTTAGGGCAGCAAGAGATTGAAGCAAATATGGCAAAATGTTAACATCCGTTAAGTCTTTTTTTTTTGCTGTATACTACTATGTATGTTTGCAATGTATGTTTGCATAATTTAAAAAAAAATTAAAGTCTTTAAAGTCTTGATCATAATGAATGTTTCACGTCTTCATTGTGACAAAGAAGCCAAGGAAGCAAATGTTGGATAGTGTGTCTCAGAGGAGCATGGCCCCTCAAACTTTATGTTCATGTTCTCTTTTTAGATAAATTCTTGTGCGACTTATCAGGCTTACCAACTTGTTGGCCAACAGCCAGTGCTGCTCACATAAACAAAATCTAGCGTCCTCTAGAAGCAGTCTTGGTGTTTCTGCTCTAGAGGATGGAATTAAACCAGCAAAAACCTGACTCATCCTGTTTATGCCAAGGTAGTGCAATATCCAACTAATCAACAAACACAGGGGAATCATCAGAGATACTGCACCAAAGAGAGTGTAGGTAAACAGTGAAATGTGACTAAATATTTGTAATTGTAAGCCATTAATGGTCTGTATAGTTAAAGCAACCAGAGAAAACAAATTCCAGAAGTCTCCCCATCTGCCACTCTGAGAGTGAGAAAAGTGGGGAAATTGAAGTTTTTAAGGAATCCATAAGTGTGGACACTGAAGTAAGGTTAACATCCATGAAAAAGAGAAATAGGTTGGGTTGCTCTTCGGTATAGGAAGGGAATAGAATCAGTAAGAGAAACTGTCTACTTAGCCAGACCTGTTGGTCATCTTTAGTGTTTAGATTGCAAAATGACATCTGTGGCCACTTGACATTAATATCGTTGGTGTTTTTGTTAAGGCAGCTAAGAATGGAGCAACAGGCGTGGAGTTGGACCTTGAGTTTACTTCTGATGGGATTCCTGTCTTAATGCACGATAGCACAGTAGATAGGACAACTGATGGCACCGGTCGATTGTGTGATTTGACATTTGAACAAGTTAGGAAGCTTAATCCTGCAGCAAATCACAGATTAAGGTAAGTGGTGTGTTGTCACCTAAACATATCTCTCAACTTGTGTTGGAGATCACAGAAAGACACTGGCACCTTCTAATTACATCTTCTGCTCCAGAAGAGTTGTTTTGTTGTGTTTTGTTTTCAGCTGTATACAGGTTTCCCAGGTAATGGGCAGGTGCCACGAACAACAGAAAGATGGCATGAATGCTTTTCAGCTTTTCCCACTGAGGCCAAATTTGGCTTCAGAATTATTCTCAAGACGATACTCTAACGTGACAATTACTTTGTACTGTCATATAAATTTATATATGTATATGTGGTGTGTGTGTGTATGTATATCAGAGCTAATCGTATAAGATGTTCCAGAAGAAAAGGGTTCTATGATCAAATAAGATCCAACACTATACTTTAGATATTCCCCTTGGGGATAAACAGTTCACGTCAATCAATTCTTGCCTTTAACTTAGTGTTTCTAAAATGTATATGACCACAGAACCCATGCCCTTCCCACCATTAACAACTATAAACACCTTGGAATTGGTATCTGGGTAATATACTTTGGAATGTGGTTATTTAAATCCCTCTCCTCTTGTCTTTGTAATACCGAAAAATGTGTTCTTACTGTAATTCATGTCGTATCAATTCTCTGGTCAATTTATTTGACCCAGTGATTAAACTGTAGTCCTCCCTAAAAGATGATTCAGACTTTATTTTCCTAGGAACTGAAAGAAATTAAAAGTCAGCCAAAGGAAGTCATACTTTAGAAAGAATATTGATAACACTTGAAAGTTCTGAGTCCAAGCTGCTGGAATTGCTCTCTGCTGTTACAGACATTTCATTGCTCAGCTGTAGGCAAGGGGAAGGCTGGTTTTAATATTACAGTGACACTGTAGCTAATAAGATGTCAAATTCAAAGTCAACACTTAATGCAAAAAATGCTTAGGGTCAGCGTCACCCTTAAAATACTCTAAGAAGGCATGGTATTGGAGCCAATATACCATCTTAATGTCTTTAACCCAAGCAGTCTTTGTTCCATAGTTGAAAGGTTGCATTTTCTTTGCTTAACTACCAAATAATTGGCTTGTGTTTAGAGACTATGTTGTTGGAAAAGAAGGGAAAATTTCTGTCAGTGGGGTAAAATGCTCATCCTGAGAGGGGAGCATGGCAACTAAGACTAGCCGGAGGAATAGCAAATTCATGTCTCTGATTCCCAGGGAATAGTCACTGAATAGAGTGGCTGGCAGAATTTGCTGTACTATTTATCTTTATCTTTTTTAAAACCAATATCTTACAGTTGAATTAATACCGTTGAATTAGCATAAGTTAAATCATATAGAGTGAAATTTTGTTATTTGAGAAAAGTTGATTTCTTATGTGTCAGGCACTTAACTTTCCTTTTCTTTTTCAGAAACTTATGTATTAGAAAATTATTTATTTTAACCAGTTTCACTTAAATGCACAACCGTACAGTTAACAGATGTATATATAGCTAGGAATTTCTCCTGCATAAGGTTCTATTAGGGAAAGTACAATCTTGAGTCTCTGAGTTCTCCAAAGATGGCATATACTCTGCCCTTTAGTGAGTAGAGTTACTAATTATATTATAAATCCAGTGACTGCCTAAAAAATAAATGATTTTTGTTGTTGCTGTTCTGTGGCCAAGAATATCTTTAACTTGGTTTAAAAACATATTATCCTTGGACTTTGGTATGGTTGGAGAAAGGAAGTTGGGGAAACATTCTTTTCCTTTGGTTGGGAGACATTTTTCAAATGTCTGTTTTACTAAACTTTTATCTTTTCCTTGTTCCTACAATGTACCATTCCTTTTCCCTCTCTTATAGGAATGATTTCCCTGATGAAAAGATTCCTACCCTGAGAGAAGCTGTTGCAGAGTGCCTAAACCGTAACCTCACAATCTTCTTTGATGTCAAAGGCCATGCAAATATGGTACAGTTTATACCATAGACTGCACTTTGGAAAAGACAGCTTTATTTAAGTGCTAGTTTGTTCCAAAATTAACTATATATTTTATTTTTTATATTCTTAAATTATTTTTACAAATTATATTTGCTTAATGGAAGTTTACAGTGCAAAAATCCACATCTTCAAGGAAACAGTAAATTATGGAACCTTTTTAAACCTTTTAACCTTTGATGGAACCATTTAACAATCTCCAATATTCGACAACTAGCACAAAATAGAAGAGTCAGGTTTCTTTTATTTGCATGAAGCATTTACAAAAGATATTAAATGAACAGTAAAGAGGCACTTCTTTTTTTTTTTTTTTTTTTTTTTTCCCAGTACGCGGGCCTCTCACTGTTGTGACCTCTCCCGTTGCGGAGCACAGGCTCCGGACGCGCAGGCTCAGCGGCCATGGCTCACGGGCCCAGCCGCTCCGCGGCACGTGGGATCTTCCCAGACCGGGGCACAAACCCGTGTCCCCTGCATCGGCAGGCGGACTCTCAACCACTGCGCCACCAGGGAAGCCCAAGGAACAAGATTTTTAATGAGCACCTCGGGTTTTATTGATGATAACGGCCCATGTTTGGGAACCCTGACAGGTCCTACATTTCACCCATGGTGTACTGACCTTCATGATTATTTTCTTAGAATAAAGAGGGGTGAGGGAGGAGAAGAAATTTTTTTTTTTTCCAGCTATTTGAGCTTTCTGGTTGGGTGCTCACAGATGGTTTGGGCAGCATTGGGCAGAACATAGTGATCTAATTCACCAAAATGGGAGCATAGGGACTTCACTGGTGGCACAGTGGTTGGGAATCCACCTATCAATGCAGGGGACACTGGTTCAAGCTCTAGTCTAAGAAGATCCCACATGCCACGGGACAACTAAGCCCATGTGCCACAACTACTGAGCCCACGCTCTAGAGCCTGTGAGCCACAACTACTGAGCCTGCATGCCACAACTACTGAAGCCCGCACGCCTAGAGCCCATGCTCTGCAACAAAGAGAAGCCACTGCAATGAGAATCCCGTGCACTGCAATGAAGAGTAGCTCCCACTTGCCGCAACTAGAGAAAGCCCGCACACAGCAACGAAAACCCAACGCAGCCCCAAAAATTAATTAATTCATTAATTAATTTAAAAAATGGGAGTATAAAGGAACAAGTGTTGGCATTAAATTGGAGACGGTAGATAACAGGAGCCAAGATCCCGGGCTTTGGAGATTGTGATTAAACTCTCACCTACTACAGTGTAACCTTAACCTTGATAAGCTTCTGTTTCCTTATGGGCAAAATGGGAACAATGTAAGAAATGACCACATAGGGTTGTTGTGAGAATCAGATAAAGAATGTAGGTGAAGCATCACACATGGTGCATGTTAGTTCACAACAAGAAAACGACTTCGGCTCTATAGCTCACACTCTGTGATATTAGTGAAGGGAAGCATGAGATGAATAATTTCTATGTTCTTTTTTATTTTGGGGAATGCATTTAGTTGCTTATATTTGGTTATAGGTTATGTGTGACTTTCCAAAAATTAGGGGTATTTCAAGAATTATGATGTAGCAACATTACATTCCACCTAACGTCTGGTCATCTCTGTTGTTAGCTGCTACTGTTGCTCAGTGGCCAAATCTGTTAATTCACTAGAGGTTACAAACTATCAGTATTTTAATTCTATCACTTCTTCATTTGGTAGCTGGTCTACTGCAAAAAGAAACTTCTGCTTTTCTTGGGAAGAGTTGGGAGACTCTCCCCAGTTTCTCCCTTGTCCCATTGCTTCTCCCTCCCTGTTGATGATGGATGACGTTTCTTCTTAGTCGCCTAGACTGAGAAAATCTACCCTCTCTAGTTTGCAGACTGGTTGACTCCCACTTCAGCTAGGAAAGGCAGAGGGAGATAGAGTTGTGGGTATAAAAGGACCTATCCTAGTGGCTAAACTAGAGTATAAGGAAAAGATTTTAAAATTTTGCTTCCAACCTCCACTGGCCTGTAGTCTGCCATACTTTTCCAAAGTATGACAAAAGGAGGTGAGCCTCTCAACAAAATAGTAAAGCAGCAGTACCCCAGCTTCTTCCTTATCTGCTGATTTGAGTTTAAAATGCATCCTAGTGGATAAAGCAACCTACCAAAACCCCTTTTCACATCCCCATATATTAGTAAACTTCTGATTTACTTAATAGAGTTGTACTTATATATAGTAGTTACTGGTTGGGACTACATTTTAATAGATTTTAAATACATGAATCTCTTTTACAGGCTACTGATGCTCTAAAGAAAGTATATATGGAGTTTCCTCAACTATACAATAATAGTATTGTCTGCTCTTTCTTGCCAGAAGTTATCTATAAGGTAAAATTCTGGATTTTTGTTGTATATAATACTATGTTAGTTGGTGGTAATAATAGCACTGGGCTAAATAAGCATAAGATAGATGCCCGTTAGACTGAACTGAATTAAGAAACTTCTCTTTTTTTTGAATTTTATTATTATTTTTTATACAGCTGGTTCTTATTAGTTATCTATTTTATACATATTAGTGTATAGATGTCAATCCCAGTCTCCCAATTCATCCCACCACCCCCACCCCACCCCCTTTCCCCCCTTGGTGTCCATACGTTTGTTCTCTACATCTGTGAAGAGACTCCTCTTTTAAATTAACAAAAATGCAGGAAGGGGAAAGTACTCGTACGCTGTTTTAAAATACCATGATTCCTTTTTAGCTCCTTCTTTCATGTTGTTTATAGGCTCATTCAGATTACTTTGGAAACATTCTCAGAACAGAATGAATTGTATATTTCTGTGTCTCACTAAGTAACAGCAGAATATACCTTTTTAAAAAATAAGTCTTATAGAGAATTTAAAATATGCATAATTTGAAATATGCAAATACATAGATACTACACAGCAAGCCCTCCTTTAACCATAATCCAGCTTGTTTCATCCATAACCCCATTTATCCCCAGAGTTATTTTTTTTAATAGATCTTTATTGGAGTATAATTGCTTCACAATACTATGTTAGTTTCTGTTGCACAACAAAGCGAATCAGCCATATGCACACGTATGTCCCCATATCCCCTCCCTTTTGAGCCTCCCTCCATCCTCCCTATCCCACCCCTCTAGGTCATCTCAAAACACCAAGGCAATCTCCCTGTGCTATGCTGCTGCTTCTCACCACCCAACTATTTTACATTCAGTAGTGTATATACGTCAATGCTACTCTCACTTCACCCCAGCTTTGCCCTCCCACCGCATGTCCTCAAGTCCATTCTCTACATCTACCTCTTTATTTCTGCCCTGCAAGTAGGTTAATCAGTACCTTTTTTTTAAAAATTCCATTTATGTGCATTGGCATACAGTATTTGTTTTTCTCTTTCTGATTTATTCACTCTGTACGACAGACTCTAGGTCCATCCACCTCACTACAAATAACTCAATTTCGTTTCTTTTTTATGGCTGAGTAATATTCCATTGTATATATGTGCCACATCTTCTTTATCCATTCATCTGTCGATGGACATTTAGGTTGGTTACATGTCCTGGCTATTGTAAACAGTGCTGCACTGAACATTGTGGTACATGTCTCTTTCTGAATTATGGTTTTCTCAGGGTATATGCCCAGTAGTGGGATTGCTGGGTGATACGGTAGTTCTATTTTTAGTTTTTTAAGGAACCTCCATACTGTTTTCCATGGTGATTGTATCAATTTACATTCCCACCAACAGTGCAGGAGGGTTCCCTTTTCACCACACCCTTTCCAGCATTTATTGTTTCTAGATTTTTTGATGATGGCCATTCTGACCAGCATGAGGTGATACCTCATTGTAGTTCTGATTTGCATTTCTCTAATAATTAGTGATGTTGAGCATCTTTTCATGTGCCTCTTGGCCATCTGTATGTCTTCCTTGGTGAAATGTCTATTTAGGTCTTCCCGCCCATTTTTTAACTGGATTGTTTGTTATTTTGATATTGAGCTCCATGAACTGTTTGTATATTTTGGAGATTAATCCTTTGTCTATTGTTTCATTTGCAAATATTTCCTCCCATTCTGAGGGTTGTCTTTTGTCTTGTTTATGGTTTCCTTTGCTGTGCAAAAGCTTTTAAGTTTAATTAAGTCCCATTTGTTTATTTTTGTTTTTATTTCTGTTACTCTAGGAGGTGGATCAAAAAAGAACCTGATGTGGTTTATGTCAAAGAGTGTTTTTCGTATGTTTTCCTCTAAGAGTTTTATAGTGTCTGGTCTTACATTTAAGTCTTTAATCCATTTTGAGTTTATTTTTGTGTATGGTGTTAGGGAGTGTTCTAATTTCATTCTTTTCCATGTAGCTGTCCAGTTTTCCCAGCACCACATATTGAAGAGGCTGTCTTTTCTCCATTGTATATTCTTGCCTCCTTTGTCATAAATTAGGTGCCCATGTGTGCGTGGGTTTATCTCTGGACATTCTGTCTTGTACCATTGATTTATATTTCTGTTTTTGAGCCAGTACCATACTGTCTTGATTACTGTAGGTCTGTGGTATAGTTTGAAGTCAGGGAACCTGATTCCTCCAACTCCGTTTTTCTTTCTCAAGATTGCTTTGGCTATTAGGCTATTCCTTTGGCTATTTGTCTTTTGTGTTTCCATACGAATTGTAAAATTTTTTGTTCTAATTCGTGAAGAATGCCATTGGTAGTTTGATGGGGATTGCATTGAATCTGTAGATTGCTTTGGATAGTATAGTCATTTTCACAATATTGATTCTTCCAATCCAAGAACATGGTATATTTTTCCATCTGATTATGTCATCTTTGATTTCTTTCATTAGTGTTTTATAGTTTTCTGAGTACAAGTCTTGCCTCCTTAGGCAGGTTTATTCCTAGGTATTTTATTCTTTTTGTTGCAATGGTAAATAGAAATGTTTACTTAATTTCTCTTTCTGATTTTTCGTTGTTGGTGTATAGAAATGCCAGAGATTTCTGTGCATTAATTTTGTATCCTGAAACCTTACCAAATTCATTGATTAGTTCTAGTAGTTTTTTGGTGGCATCTTTAGGATTTTCTATGTACAGTATCATGTCATTGGCACACAGTGACAGTTTTACTTCTTCTTTTCCAATTTGTATTCCTTTTATTTCTTTTTCTTCTCTGATTGCTGTGGCTAGGACTTCCAAAACTATGTTGAATAAGCGTGGCAAGAGTGGACATCCTTGTCTTGTTCCTGATCTCAGTGATAATGCTTTCAGTTTTTCACCATTGAGTATGATGCTTGCTGTGGGTTTGTCATATATGGCCTTTATTATGTTGAGGTAGGTTCCCTCTGTGCCCATTTTCTGGAGAGTTTTTATCATAAATGGGTGTTGAATTTTGTCAAAAGCTTTTTCTGCATCTATTGAGATGATCATATGGTTTTTGTTCCTTAATTTGTTAATGTGGTGTACCACATTGATTGATTTGCATATACTGAAGAATCCTTGCATCCCTGGGATAAGTCCCACTCCATCATGGTGTATGATCCTTTTAATGTGTTGTTGGATTCTGCTTGCTAGTACTTTGTTCATGATATCTGCATCTATGTTCATCAGTGATATTGGGCTATAATAACCTTTTTGTGTGATGTCTTTTTCTGGTTTTGGTATCAGGGTGATGGTGGCTTCGTTGAATGAATTTGGGAGTGTTTCTCCCTCTGCAATTTTTTGGAAGTGCTTGAGAAGGATTGGTGTTAGCTCTTCTCTAAATGTTTTATAGAATTCGCTTGTGAAGCCATCTGGTCCTGGACTTTTGTTTGTTGGAAGATTTTTAATTATGGTTTCAATTTCATTACTTGTGATAGTTCTGTTTATATTTTCTAATTCCTCCTGGTTCAGTCTTGGAAGTTTATACCTTTCCAAGAATTTGTCCATTTCTTCGTGGATGTCCATTTTGTTGGTGTATAGTTGTTTGTAGTAGTCTCTTATCCTTTGTATTTCTGCAGTGTCAGTTGTGATTTCTCCTTTTCCATTTCTAATTTTATTGATTTGCGTCCTCTCCCTTTTTTTCTTGATGAGTCTGGCTAAGGGTATATCAATTTTGTTTATCTTCTCAAAGAACCAGCTCTTAGTTTTATTGATCTTTGCTGTTGTTTTCTTCATTTCTATTTCATTTATTTCTGCTCTGATCTTTATGATTTCTTTCCTTCTACCGACTTTGGGTTTTCTTTGTTCTTCTTTCTCTAGTTGTTTTAAGTGTAGGGTTAGATTGTTTGAGATTTTTCTTTTTTCTTGAGGTGAGATTGAATTGCTATAAATTACCGTCTTAGAACTGCTTTTGCTGCATCCCGTAGGTTTTGGGTTGTCATGTTTTCATTGTCATTTGTTTCTATGTATCTTTTTATTTCTTCTTTGATTTCTTCAGTGATCTCTTGGTTATTTAGTAGTGCACTGTTTAGCCTCTATGTATTTGTGTTTTTTACAGGTTTTTTCCTGTAATTGATTTCCAATCTCATAAGGTTGTGGTCAGAAAAGATGCTTGATACGATTTCAATTTTCTTAAATTTTCCAAGGCTTGATTTATGATCCAAGATGTGATCTGTCCTGGAGAATGTTCCATGTGCACTTGAGAAGAAAGTGTATTCTGCCACTTTTGGGTGGAATGTTCTATAAATATCAATTAGATCTATCTGGTCTATTGTTTCATTTAAAGTTTGTGTTTCCTTATTTATTTTCCGTTTGGATGATCTGTCCATTGGTGTAAGTGGGGTGTTAAAGACTCCCACTATTATTGTGTTACTTTCTATTTCTTCTTTCATGGTTGTTAGCATTTGCCTTATATATTGAGGTGCTCCTATGCGTAAACATTTATAATTGTTATATCTTCTTCTTGTATTGATCCCTTGATCATTATGTGGTGTCCCTCCTTATCTCTTGTAACAGTCTTTATCTTAAAGTCTGTTTTATCTGATACGAGAATTGCTACTCCAGCTTTCTTTTGATTTCCATCTGCATGGGATATCTTTTTCCATCCCTTCACTTTCAGTCTGTATGTGTCTCTAGGTCTGAAGTGGGTCTCTTGTAGACAGGATATATATGGATCTTGTTTTTGTATCCATTCAGCCAGTCTGTGTCTTTTGGTTGGGGCATTTAATCTATTTACATTCAAGGTTGTTATCAATATGTATGTTCCTATTACCATTTTCTTAATTATTTTGGGTTTGTTTTTGTGGTCTTCTTCTGTTGTGTTTCCTGCCTAGAGAAGTTTCTTTAGCATTTGTTGTAAAGCTGGTTTGGTGGTGCTGAATTCTCTTAGCTTTTGCTTGTCTGAAAAGCTTTTGACTTCTCCATCGAATCTGAATGAGATCCTTGCTGGGTAGAGTAACCTTGGTTGTAGGTTTTTCTCTTTCATCACTTTAAGTATATCCTGCCACTCCCTTCTGGCCTGCAGAGTTTCTGTTGAAAAATCAGCTGATAACCTTAAGGGGATTCCTTTGTATGTTATTCTTTGTTTTTCCCTTGCTGCTTTTTATATTTTTTCTTTGAATTTAATTTTTGTTAGTTTGATTAATGTCTTGGTGTGCTTTTCCTAGGGTTTATCCTGTATGGGACTCTGTGCTTCCTGGACTTGGGTGACTATTTCCTTTCCCATATTAGGGAAGTTTTCGACATAATCTGTTCAAATATTTTCTCAGACCATTTCTTTTTCTCTTCTTCTGGGACCCCTGTAATTCAAATTTGGTGCGTTTAGTGTTGTCCCAGAGGTCTCTGAGATTGTCTTTGATTCTTTTCATTCTTTTTTCTTTATTCTGCTCCTTGGCAGTTATTTCCACCATTTTGTCTTCCAGCTCACTTATTCGTTCTTCTGCCTCAGTTATTCTGTTATTGATTCCTTCTAGTGTATTTTTCATTTCCGTTACTGTGTTGTTCATCTCTGTTTGTTTGTTCTTTAGTTCTTCTAGATCTTTGTTAAACATTTCTTGTATTTTCTCAATCTGTGCCTTCATTCTGAGATTCTGGATCATCTTTACTATCATTGAAATTACTCTGAATTCTTTTTCTGGTAGATTGCCTATTTTCTCTTCATTTATTTGGTCTCGTAGGTTTTTACCTTGCTCCTTCATGACACATTTTTTTGACATCTCTCTTTTTTTTTTTTAATGAGTGGAATTGTGTTCCTGTCTTACTGGTTGTTTGGCCTGAGGCTTCCAACACTGGAGTTTGTAGGCTATTGGGTAGAGTTGGGTGTTGGTGCTGAGATGAGGAACTCTGTTAGACCTCACTCTGATGAATATTCCCTGGAGTCTGAGGTTCTCTGTTAGTCTGGTGGTTCGGACTCGGAGCTCCCACTGCAGGAGCTTCAGCCCAACCCCGGGCTCGTGAACCAAGATCCTGTGAGCCGCGTGGGGTGGCAAAAAAGAGAGAGAGAACAGTAACAAAGAAAAAAATAAAATTAGACTAGGAAACTACCAGATATGTTAGAAAGAATATAAAAATTAAAATATAGATGAATCAACAACTGGAAGGTACATCAGTACCACAATACTAAAAAAGAGGAGGAGGGAAAATTTAAAAAAAGGGGCTGGGGGGAAGGCCTTGGCTGTGGGGGGCGGGGCCTAAGCAAGGGCGAGGTTTGGGCGGTGGGCAGGGCCTGTGCTCAGGACCCACAGGGCTGGAAAAGGCCCTGGGGGCTCTGGGGGATGGGGCTTAGGCTCAAGGAACAGAAGGGGCCCAGGCGAGTCCCCTACCCCTGGTCTCAGAGGGCGGGGGATCTCACCTGGAAACCCAGCAGGCTTCCTGGGCTCGAGTGGGTGGGGCCCTCCTCTCCTCTCCTGCTCCTCTGGTCTGGGAGGGCCCCTCCCACCTGCCTCTCCTGATCTCCCTGACCTCCCTCCTATGCCCCCAAGGACCCATGCGGCCTGGAGGGGGCTTTGGAGGGCAGGGGATCAGCGTGGGAGCCCAGCAGACTCCTCAGGCCCGAGTGGGCCAGTCAATCACCCTCCACTCCTCTCCCCTCCTCCTGGAGGGCCCCTCCTGCCTACCTCTCCTGATCTCCCCAGCCTCAGGGGCGCAGATCCTGTCTGTCCTCCACTTCTCCTCCCCTCTCAGTCCCCATACATCCTACCGGTTCACTTTGGGGTTCCTTCCGTCTCCTTGGGCGTCAGAGTTCCCCACCAGCAGCCGGCAGGCACCCTCGTTGTGGGGAGAAGCTAACTCCGCATCTTCCCACACTGCTGTCTTGACTCCGCCTCCTCCCCAGGGTTATTTTGAAGCAGATTCCAGTTATATCATTTTATCCATGAAAATTACATTAAGTATCTTTAAAAAGTGATTCCTTTTTTTTTTTTAACATAACCACAATACCATTATCCCATCTAAAACCACTAACAAGAAGTCCTTAAGATCATCAAATATCCAGTGTATAAACCCCCCTTGTCATGTATTTATTGAAGAAATTAGGTTGTTTTGTAGAGTTTATTTAACAAAGTCTGGATTTTGCTAATTATGCCATGGTACAATTTAACACATTCATCTCCTCTGTATATTTCCTATGAATTGGTAGAGTTGAAGGCTTGATCAGGTTAGGTTCAGTTATTCTTGGCAAGGTAATTCCTTAGGCAAGGGTCTTCTTCCATCAGGGGGCGCATACTGCCGGGTTGTCTCGTCACGTTGTCAGCAGCTGTTACTGATGCCAGTGGCCGGCTCTGGCAGTTTACTAGGGGTTTTATTTTTATTTTTAATATTTATTTATCCATTTATTTATTTGGCTGCGCCGGGTCTTAGTTGCAGCACACGGGATCTTTAGTTGCAGCATGTGGGATTGAGTTCCCTGACCAGGGATCGAACCCGGGCCCCCTGCATTGGGAATGTGGAGTCTTAGCCACTGGACCACCAGGGAAGTCCCTCCTAGGGGTTTCAAAGTGTCAATATTTTAAGTCTGTCATTTCTTGTTCATGTATTACCTAGAGGGAATACTTCTATAAAGAGGATCTCATCTACTGTTTAGCTATCCAATAGGCAAATAAATGCTTAATCCTGTCCTTTATTTACCAGTTTCCAAAATAATGAGTTGGTTCTTCAACAGTGACCAACACAGCATGTATTTAAAATTTTGCAGTAAGGGTGGAGCCTACTGGGATATAAACTGTCATTGAGATGAATAGTGCCCTGGGACTTCTAGACATTTGGATCAGTGTTTCCCAAACTTCCTTGACCAGAGGCCTTTAAAATGTGTGATGCCTTTTCCAGAGGACCATAGAGCACAGACTAAGAGAATTCCATCCATATCCCCCATTTGTCCGTTGCTCTGTCCTTGTCCCTGCCCCCACTTCTCTCCCTTCTCACCCCATTTCCCCGCCCCCCACAACTTTTTTCAGCCATCTTTTCTAAAAAGGATCAAAAACTAACCAGCCCATCTTGAAATGATCATGGTTCCATCTTCACTGTGTTCTAATTATCTCTGGCCATAATTTAAATCAATATCCAATTGAAAGTTACTCTCTGTGACATTATTAAAATTTGACCCTGACGTTATAGTGTTCTCATTTTAAAGATAGTATTGCAGCTCTTTTAGGATTGTGGAGGGAGTCTTCTCATTTATACTATATATTAAATGCTTTACATTCAACACATTATTTTCTCAAAGGGTTTATGATAGAGTATTTATTTAGTAGACATGGGGGGCAGCATACCTCCTTGTACAGACTGAGTACATTGGCTAAATCTAACGAACAAATGAGAAGTATTGGCCTTAAGATATGATAATTGCTTTATTTTCCAAAATTCCTTTCAGATGAGACAAGCAGATCAGAATGTAGTAACCGCTTTAATTCACAGACCTTGGAGCCTTAGCCATACAGGAGATGGGAAACCACGCTTTGCTACTTTCTGGAAACAGTCCATGTTTGTGGCATTGGACATTTTGCTCGATTGGAGTATGCATAATATCTTGTGGTACTTGTGTGGAATTTCAGCTTTCCTCATACAAAAGGATTTTGTATCTCCGTAAGTTGGAAGATTTTTTTTATCTTCTGATACATTTCCTGAATGTTCTTCTTGAAAAGGGAGGATTAACAGTGGACACCTGGATTGGTTCCCACCCACGAAGCCCACCATGCCTTTATTAAGTTGAAATGCCACTAGCTTCTTAGGTGGGAAGAGTTTAGGCATATTTCACTGTTTCCAAAACAAGTTGATCAAATATTCTTAGGTTTTAGTGCATTTTAAAGAAAAAATAAACGTGCCAAACTATGACGTCAGAGACGGAGAGATTGTATTTCCTTGTGATTGGCTCCCTTTAAAAACCAACATAGGATCTAGGGCAGAACCACAATGAAGAGGTCTTGTGGGCACCTACCTCATCCATCCCAACTTTCCTTCTGCTCCCCTATATATTACAGGCTCTACTCCATTGCTCCCAGGAAACTTTCCATTCCCTAACCTGCTAGCAATCTCTGTATCTTTATTTTGGCAATTTTATAGCTGTGTATTTCAGGTGGTTACAGTTGTAAGTTTCATATTATTTCAGGCATGTGTGCATTCAGTTCAATAAGTATTTGTTGTATGCCTGCAGTATTGCAAGGTACTGTATGAAGAAGCTGAAGATGCTGTGGTAAAGAAGGAAAGCCACAGTCTGCCCTCATGGAGTTTATAGTCAAGTGGAAGAGATAAATGCTAATCAAATAAAGATCCAGTAAACATAAAATTAGAGCTAAGATAAATGCTGTGTAAGAGAGAACAGTGCACATATGCTGTTTAATTTGTCCTAGTCAAGGGAGTCAGGGAAAACATCCCCAAGGAAGTAACAGCTGAGCTAAGATCTGAAGAGTGCGTAGGAAATGAGGGGATTGGGGGTGGAGGTCCAAGTCAGAGGGGAAGACACGTGCAAAAGTGCTGTGGCAGGAAGGAGCCTGGTTCTTTCAAGGAACTGCAGGAAAAATCAGTACACACACAGAGTACAGCACAGAAAAGAACGGGGGAGTGTGGTGTAAGATGAGGCCAAAGAGACAGGTGGGACTAGGCTAGGTACAGCCTCCGGTAGGGGTTCGGGGTGGGGGGGTCTTCAGCAAGCGGCTGAAGTGTTGAAAGCCGCAGCGGCGTGGTGGAGGTGCTCATGCTGGGTTTGGAACACCCTCTGGCTGCAGTGCGGAGGCCAGTTAAGAGGCTCCTTCTGGGGGCTGTTAGTACTCAGCGAACACCATATTTAGTGACCGTTGTAGATTCCTGAGACAATTGGCATTATTCTAACAAGGTTGGTTTTTCCTCTTTCTCCAGGGACTACTTGAAGAAGTGGTCAGCTAAAGGCATTCAGGTTGTTGCTTGGACTGTTAATACTTTTGATGAAAAAAGTTACTATGAATCCCATCTTGGTTCCAGCTATATCACCGACAGCATGTTGGAAGACTGCACACCTCACTTCTAGACTTTTCCCCCAGGGAGGAAGCACGGGTAGAGAAACTGCCTGCTGGCCTCATGGAGGAATATCAGCACACCCAAGCCCTTGCGGGATCAGGTGGCTCCCACAAGCAGTAGTCGGTGACTGGGTATTTACCTGAACCAGAGCAAAACCCGGTGTTGCCGCCATGCTCCATGAAATGCCTGAGTTCAAAACCGATGCTCTTGAAAGTCTGGGTCTGCAGAAAGGCACAACACTCTTGCCCCAACCTGAGGCACGCACTGAAGCCCGGTGAAGATAAGCACAGACTGAATCGTGCGCTTTGGGGGTGCAGATGCAAATGCATGGGAAACGCATGATCACTCAGAGTTGACGTTTTAAAACTTGACACACTTACATAACTTTACTTATTTAAAATATTTGTATCCAGCTATGTTATCAATGTACTGTAGACATCAAACTTGTGACCATACTAATAAAATCATTAAAAGGAGCACTAAGGGAAAACCGTGTACCAAGCATCATATCCTAAGACATAAAGAATTTAAGGGAGCTGCTGTTTCCAATCCAGTGGCCAGGGCCCCTGGTGAGACATTGGTGTGAAGCAAAGAAAATGGTAAGGAGGTCTTAATATCAGTCTGAGGGATTGTTTATGGTATCTAGAAATAAGAGCTACAAACCACTAGGGGGCAGAGTTGTACCCTTTCAAGCTGCTCTACAGCAGACGATCACAGACAGAACTAGAAGAAACTTCCGGGAACATCTAGGCTTAGCCTCATTTTACAAATGAGAAAACTAAAATCTGGAAGGGAAGGGTCTTCCCAGAAATGACAGCTGTGACGTAGAGCCTGATCTCATGATAAAATTTCTTGTTTACTATTTACCAGGAACTTCAGTGGTTTAACATGCGTTATTTTAATTAACCCTCACAAAAATCTTACAGAGATATTAATCTCTTTTTACTGATAAGGAAACCGAGGTACTGCAAGGTTAAAGTCACTTACCCAAGGTCTCAAATTCCTTGCTGTAACTGGTATTCAAGTCCAGGTCAGTCGGTTCAGAGAACCACTCACCTTGTCTGCCTTTATAACGTAGAGCCCTTGATTCCCAGCTCTGCTCTTTCCCATGTGAGCTTCCAGGGGTCTTATTGTGAACTTAAGTGGCATCATTTAAAATGAAGTTGAGTCTTCAGAAAATTGCAAAGCTCGCTGTCTCCTCTAGCTGCCCCACACCCCCACCATTCAGCCCTATCTGGCCTTGATCACAGGCCCACAGCTTAGTCATGACTTCCCTCCTGAATCCTCATGGGTCACTGAGCTCGGCCACCAGCCCACACAGCTGGATGGTGGTGAGAAGCAGACTGATTTTTGCTATAGCTGGTGTTGGCAGGAGGACAATAAATGAGGCTTGGGATGTTTACAAATGAATTTTCTTGAATTTTAAAATTAACAGCAGAACAGAGATTCAGTGAATGGAACAGATATCTAAACTGCATGACTTCTATGCCACGTTATGACTAGAGTGACAAGAGGAAGAGAAAGGGACCAAAGAAAACATCTGAATTCCCCCTTTGGTTTACGTGCAGAGGCTACACAGCAACTGACAGGGAAGAAATTCTCTTGGGGGTACCACAGAGTTCACAACATCCCTTCTGTGGTGCGAAGACCTTTCGGGAGCCAGAAGTTCTCTGTCTCTTGACCTTTGTCCCAAATCCATATTGCACTTGACTCAGCCAGGCCCAATTAAGGATTGAGATCCTGTGCTAAGGTGGTCGTGGGCCTTGAAGAATGGAGAATTCAGATGAAGAAAGAAGGTGTTAATTACTTACTTGGAAGGTTTAGTAAAGAGGTTAAAAACAGGATTTTATTTTTTTGGCTGCTTTGGGTCTTCTTTGCTGCGCGCGGGCTTTCTCTAGTTGTGGTGAGCTGGGGCTACTCAGCTACTCTTCGTTGCAGTGCGCAGGCTTCTCATTGTGGCGGCTTCTCGTTGTGGAGCACGGATTTCAGTAGTTGCAGCACACAGGCTCAGTAGTTGTGGCTCACGGGCTCTAGAGTGCAGGCTGAGTAGTTGTGGCGCACGGGCTTAGTTGTTCCGCGGCATGTGGGATCTTCCCGGACCAGGGCTTGAACCCATGTCCCCTGCATTGGCAGAAGGATTCTTAACCACTGCGCCACCAGGGAAGTCCCAACAACAGGATTTGACATCAGAAAAAGTTAAATCTGAATTCCTAATCTCTAGCTCTATGACCTTGGGCAAGTCATATAGCTAGTGTCTTGAATTCATCTCTAAAATAGGGGCAGTATTAGTACCACGGCAGGGGTAGTTGTGATTAAAGGAAAGAGTACATGTAAAATGCTTGTTAATAACTAAGATTTATGGACTGCCTACCATGTACTGGACGCTGTTTCAAATGCTTTCTATGTGTTTACTCTGTTACAACACCATGAGGTCAAGGTACCATTATAATTCCATTTTACAGTGAAGAAAACCAAAGCCCAAGGAAGTTAAGTAACTTACCTAAAGTCACAGACAGTAATAGGGTAAGGATTCAGGCCCAGATTATATAATTCCAGAGCCCACACTCTAAACCCAGGCTTATCCTCCTTTCTGTCGCTTAGCAAAGGCTCAGTCATGAGAAACATTCCCAGCACTCCTTGCAGTGCCTGTCACAGTAGACAATAAAAGTTGTAAGAGGGCTTCCCTGGTGGCGCAGTGGTTGAGAGTCCGCCTGCCGATGCAGGGGACACGGGTTCGTGCCCCAGTCCGGGAAGATCCCATGTGCCGCGATGCCGATCAAACACATGAAAAGATGCGCTGAGCCTGCAATTATTAGGGCAATGAAAATCAAAACTACAATGAAGAATCGCGAGAGGCCCGCGTATGAAAAAAAAAAAAAGAATACAAACAGGGCTTCCCTGGTGGCGCAGTGGTTGAGAGTCCGCCTGCCGATGCAGGGGACACGGGTTCGTGCCCCAGTCCGGGAAGATCCCACATGCCGCGGAGCGGCTGGGCCCGTGAGCCATGGCCGCTGAGCCTGCATGTCCGGAGCCCGTGCTCCGCAGCAGGAGAGGCCACGGCAGTGAGAGGCCCGCGTACCGCAAAAAAAAAAAAAAGTTGTAAGAATGAGTTGTGGGATAGCCAAGTGGAAAGTTCTTGAGGAACCTGGATATAGACCTAGAGTGAGGTAAAGATTTGGGAGTGTAATGATTCAGTAGCATCAACAAGTGAGCCATCCAAAGATAGCATTCTTTCCAAGAACGTCAATAGGGATAAAAATCATATCCTCTGCTGCTCATCGGACTGCCCCTGTGTTCTCAGAATGGTGGAGACAGATAACCTGGAAGGGCTACCTGAAAAGGCTTGAGAAACCCACTGCTTACTTCATTAAACGATACTCATTTTCTTATTTGGAGATGAGCGAGCAATCTTGTCCTGACAAGAATTTCACTAAGACATGAATACTCTTTATTAGACAAGAATCTAAATGACACCATTTCCTGAAGTGGGAATAATGCTTCAACAGGACAGTCAACCACAGCTTTGAGGACAAGGCAAGGTGGAAGTTAACGAAGTGTTCCAGACATCCACTCAAACCTTAGCATGGAGTGACGGTTACTGTGGGGCAAAGTTACTTGATTTCTTTGATCAAAAATACTGAAGATTAATGACCTGTGTGTTCTTTTATCAAACTTTAAATTACGCTCAAAATCTGACAGCAGGACACCAAGTGTTAAGAAGAGGATGGAGATCAGCTGGGCAGAGGGTTCTCAAAGAATGTTGTCCTTTGAGGCTGAAAGGGGTTCCTGGGCCCAATTCTAGTGTGTTCTGTGTGTGGAGGCTTCCTCACATCAACAACAAGCAATTCTCAGTCGCAGGCAGGGTCCTTCAAAATCCAGCTCAGTTCTGACACTGTCTACCCAGAGATAGAATCAGATTCCATGGGTAAAGGGCTCAGTCCCAGACGACCATCCTCCAGATGCCAGCTGCAAGCACAGGTTGTTACCCGCAATTGTGACTGACTGGCTATAAATCAGATATTCCCAAAATCCCCTCCTCAGGTTTGATTAATTTGCCAGAACAGCTCACAGAACTCAGGAAAACCCATTCACTCACTAGATCACCGATTTATTATGGGAGGCTATTAAAAGGATACAAATCCACAGCCAAATGAAGACATACATTGGGCAAGGTCCTACGCAAAGGAGCTTCTGTCCTCCCGGAGCTTGGGGCCAGGCATGGGGGCACACAGAAGTGTCAGAAGTGTTCCGTTTCCCCCACATGGAAGCTCTCCAAAAAGAAGGGCAAAAAGCTGTCCTTTTGTTTTTTGTTCTTTGGGTGTTTTTTTTTTGCGGTACGCGGGCCTCTTACTGTTGTGGCCTCTCCCGTTGCGGAGCACAGGCTCCGGACGCGCAGGCTCAGCGGCCATGGCTCACGGGCCTAGCCGCTCCACGGCATGTGGGATCTTCCCGGACCGGGGCACGAACCCGTGTCCCCTGCAACGGCAGGCGGACTCTCAACCACTGCGCCACCAGGGAAGCCCCCCTAGAAATGTTTGATGCAATATTCTTAGCTCACTATTTGCGTGTTCAGTAAGTGCCTCAGGTGACTTTTATGGTCAAGCAAGTTCAGAAAGCACTACTCTAGGTTCTAGCTCCGTTGCTCTCAGCCCTGGCTTCCCACTGAAACCATCTGAGCTTTCAGGGAAAACTATGGATTCCTGATTTAGTTGGTCTAGAGCGGGCAGGGCCTGGGTCTGGCTGTTCAAACAGCTCCCTGTGTGATCCTGGGTGCAGCGAGCAATGAGAGCCCTGCTGCCTGATGAGAGGTCCTGATGGGACTGGGGGTGAGTTTCCCCTATTACGGGCTGAACTGTGTTGACCCAAAATTCATATGGTGGAGTCCAGACCTCCAGTACCTCAGAATGTAACCATATTTGGAGATAAGTCCTTTAAAGATGTGAGTTAGTTAAAATGAAGCCATTAGGTTGGGTCCTAATCCAATCTGTCTTGGACAGATTTGGAAATTTGGACACAAAGGTACACCAGGATGTGTGCACCGAGGAGAGACCATGTGAGGACACAGCGAGAAGGTGGCCATCTACAGGCCAAGGAGAGAGACCTCAGAATGAAACCAAAGCTGTGGACGCCGACTGTGGACACCTTGATCTTAGACTTCCCACCTCTGGAACTGTGAAAAAATGAATGTGTGTTGTTTAAGCCTCCAGTCTGTGCTATGGGTTATGGCAGCTCTAGCAAACTAATATATCCCCTATATCTCAAGACTAAGGATGTGAGGATGTTACACACATCCAAATGTGTGTGTGAGACCTACAGACTAGATCTTTCTACTGTGTCTGCTCCTCCAGGAGAAGCAGGGGCTACACTGAAGTAAAGATAAGAGGTGAATGGAGAAGCAGTCCGGATATAAGCCCTGAGCATATGGGAAGTGAGCAAAAATGATGCTTCCAGAGGGAGTTCACATTTCAGTGCACAAGCACAGATAGCATT